AACTTGCACATAAGGTCAAATGACTTTCAACAAGGGTACCAAGACTATTCAATAGGGAATGAGAGTTTCTTCAACAAACAGTTTTGGGAAAACTAACAGAGTTGGATTCTCACCTTAGATCATATACAAAAATTAACACGAAAAGAATGAAAGATCTAAATGTCAGACTTGATCCTACCAGATTCCTAGAAGAACATGGAGAAAAAGCTTCAGGACATTGGACTTGGCAATGACTTCTTAGATACGACACCAAAAGCACAGGATAAAAACCAAAATTAGAAAATGAGAATACATGATCAAAGAAAACAATCAATAGTGAAAAGGCAACCTACAGAATAGGAGAAAATATCTGCCAATCATATAGCTGACAAGGAGTTAATATCCAGAATATATAAGGAACCGCCATAACTCAATAACAAACAAATACCCCAATTAAAAATTGGGTCAAGGACTTGCTTCCCTGGTGGCTCAGATGGTAAAGGGTCTGCCCACAGTGCAGGAGACCTGGGTTCGATCCCTGGGTAAGGAAGATTCCCTGGAGAAGCAAATGGAAAACCACTCCAGTATTCTTGCCTGGAAAATTCCACCGACAGAGGAGTCTGGTGGGCTATAGTCCAGGGGGACACAAAGAGTCAGACACGACTGAGCAATTAACACTTAACACAAGGACTTGAACAGACATTTCTCCAAAGAAGATACACAACATTCAACAGGCACATGAAACGATGCTCAACGTGACTGATCATTAGGAAAATGCAAATGCAAACCACAATGAGATACCATTTTATCAATCAGGATGCCCACTATCAAAAGAACAGAAACTAACAAGTCCTCAAGAGGACCAGGAGAAGTTGAAAGCCTTGTGTACTCTAGGCGCTAAGGTAAAATGGTACATCCATTATGGAAAACAGTATGGAGGTTCCTCCACAAATTAAAAACAGAATTACAATACAATCTAGAAATTCTACTTCTGAGTATATATCTAACATAACTCAAAGCAAGAACTTGAGCTATTTGCACACCTGTGTTCATTGCAGCATTATTCACATAGCCAAAAAGTGGAAGCAAGCCAAACATCCATCAACTGATGAACTAATAAAGTGTGGTATATACATACAATGGAGTATTATGTAGCTTTAAAAAATGGGAAATCCTGTCATATGAAGACATTATACTAAGGGAAATAAACCAGTCACAAAAGGACAGATACTATACATTTCCTGTCACCGGAAGTATCTCTCTAAGGTAGTCCAAGTAACAGCAACAGAAAAGTGTTTACCAAGGGCTAGAGGCAGGGTGAATAAGTGTTTAGTGGATATAGAGTTTCAGTGTTATAAAATGAAAAGGTTCTAGAGATCTGTTGTACAACAATGTGAATACTTAACACTACTGAACTGTATACTTAAAAAATAGTTAAGATGGTAAATTTAGTGTTAAGGTCCCACCATTCTATAGATAAGCAGATTGCACTCATTTCACATGCTGGCAAGGTAATGCTCAAAAACCTCCATGCTACACTTTAGCACTACATGAACTGAGAACTTCCAGACATACAAGCTAGATTTAGAAAAGGCAGAGGAACCAGAGATTACATTGCCAACATCTGTTGGATCACAGAAAAAGCAAGGAAATTCCAGAAAAACATCTACTTCTGCTTCACTGACTATGCTGAAGGCTTTGATTGTGTGGATCACAACAAACTGTGGAAAATTCTTCAAGAGAAGGGAATACGAGACCACCTTACCTGTCTCCTGAGAAACCTGTATGCAGGTCAAGAAGCAACAGTTAGAACCAGACATGATGGAACAATGGACTGGTTCAAAACTGGAAAAGGAGTACATCAAGGCTGTATATTGTCACCCTGCTTAGTTAACTTATATGCAGAGTACATCATGTGAAATGCTGAGCTGGATGAAGCACAAGCTGGAATCAACACTGCCTGGAGAAATATCAACAACCTCAGATGTGCAGATGATACCACTCTAATGGCAGAAAGTGGAGAGAACTGAAGAGCCTCTTGATGAAGGTGAAAAAGGAGAGTGAAAAAGCTGGTTTAAAACTCAACATTCAAAAACTGAAGATCATGACATCCAGTCCCATCACTTCATGGCAAATAGACGGGGAAACAGTGGAAACAGTGGCAGACTTTATTTTCTTGGGCTCCAAAATCACTGCAGACGGTGACTGCAGCCACAAAATTAAAAGATGCTTGCTCCTTGGAAGAAAAGCTATGACAAACCTAGACAGCATATTAAAAAGCAAAGACATCACTTAGCTGACAAAGGCCTGTAGAGTCAAAGCTAAGGTTTTTCCAGTAGTCATGTATGGATGTGAGAGCTGGACCATCAAGAAGGCTGAGTGCCAAAGAATTGATGCTTTCAAACTGGTGCTGGAGAAGACTCTTTAGAGTCCCTTGGACAGCAAGAAGATCAAACCAGTATCCTAAAGGAAATCAGTCCTGAATAGGGAAGGACTGATGCTAAAGCTGAAGCTCCAATACCTTGGCCACCTGATGCGATGAGCTGACTCATTGGAAAAGACCCAGATGCTGGGACAGATTGAGGGCAGGAGGAGAAGGGGGTGACAGAGGATGAAATGGTTGGATGGCATTACCAACTCAATGGACATGAGTCTGAGCAAGCTCCAGGAGATAGTGAAGGACAGGGAAGCCTAGTGTGCTGCAGTTCATGTGGTCACAAAGAGTTGGGCACAACTTAGCGAATGAACAATAACATAGATAAGTATTAATAAAAACACAGGCATTAGAGCCTTAATATTCTTTAATTGTGAAGGACAATCATTTATTTTTCTAATTCTGTTATTTTTTTATCCCAATAACACAATAAAGTAAAAATAAGTAATACCTTAGGACTAGGATACAATATTTGTAAAAGACACATCTGATAAAGGACTGTTATCCAAAATATACCAAAAGGACTGTTATCAACTTTCACAATATGAAAATGAGAAATCTGATTAAAAAATTGGGGAAAAGACCTAATAGACACCTCACCAAAGAAGATATTCAAATGCAAGTAAGCATATGGAATTATGTTCAACACCATATGTCATTAGGGAGTTGCAAATTAAGACCAAAATGAGATATCACTATACAGCCTTTAGAATGGGCAAAATCTAGAATACTGACAACAAATGCTGGTCAGGATATGGAGCAATAGAACTCTCATTTACTGCTTATGGGAAATGCAAAATGGGTAGCTATGTTGGAGATAGTCTGGAAGTTTCTTACAAAACTAAACATGCTCTTACCATATGATCCAGATCACACTCTTTGGTTTTTACCAAAATGAACTGAAATCTTATGTTCACACAAAGACCTGCATATAGATGTTTATAATAGTTTTATTTGTAATGGCCAAAACATGGCAGCAACCATGATGTCCTTCAGTAAGTGAGTGACTATTAAATAAATTGGTACATCTAGACAATGAAATATTATTTAGTGCTAAGAAGAAATGAGCTATCAAACCATGAAAAGATGGAGAAAACTCAAATGCATGTTACTAAGTGAAAAAAGCCAACTTGAAAAAGCTATATACTGTATGATTTTAACCACATGACACTAAGAAAAATGCAAAACCATGGAGACAGTAAAAGGAAGAGTGGTGACCAGGGGTTGGAGGGAGGGATGAATAGGCTAAGCACAGAGGATATTTAGGGCAGTGAAATGATTCTGTATAATACTGTAATGGTTGAGACATGTCCTTATACATTTGTTCAGACTCACTGAACATACAAGACCAAGAGTGAAAACTAACTAACCTAAACTGTGGACTATCACTGTGGGTGATAATGATACATCATTGGAGGTTCACTGATTATAACAAATATGCCCCTCTGGTGGGGGGTACTGATTGTGAGGAAGGTTGTACCTGTGTAGGAAAAAGGACTGTATGTGAACTCCATAATTTCTGTTCAGTTTTGCTGCTCTAAAGACTAAAGTTTACATTAATTAAAATAAAATTTGCTAGGTACAAAAACTATTATTTGATTTGGACAAGTCAAAAATTTTATCAACAGGAATCTTATTGTATAATAACAATCAATGGCTAATTTGATAAAAAATGAAACCGTCTGAGATATTAAAAAAAACAATACCTTACAACTATCATATATGGTGGTGGAATATAAAATGGCATATGGCTGCTGTGGAAAACAGTTTGGTGATTCATAAAAACTAGAATCACCACATGACCTAGCAATTCCACTCCTAGGTATATACCCAAAAGAATGGGAAAGAGGTGTTTGAAACAAAAACTTGTACATGAATATTCATATCACCAACAATCCTAATAGTTCAAGCAAAGTCACCCAGTCGTGTCCAACTCTTCGCAATCCCATGGACTGTAGCCCACCAGGCTCCTCTGTCCATGGAATTTTCCAGGCAAGAGTCCTGGAGTGGGTTGCCATTTCCTTCTCCAGGGGATATTCCCGACCCAGGAATCGAACCTGGGTCTCCTGCATTGCAGGCAGACATGTTACCATCTGAGCCACCTGGGAAGCCCTCTAATAGCTCAAAGGTAGAAAGAATACAAATGTCCATCAATTGATGATTGGATAAACAAAATGTGGTATGGCTATATTATGGAGTATTATTCAATCATCAAAAGGAATGAAGTAATGACACATGCCACAACATGAATGAACCTCAAGAAGATAGCAACAAGCAAGAGAATGCAGACATAAAGGCCACATAGTATATGATTCCATTTATTTGAAATACCTACAATAGGTAAACCCACTGAGACAGAAAGAAGATTAGTGGTTGCCAGGGCCTGGTGAGGGAGGAATGCAGGATGACTACTTAATGGCTATAAGGGTTTACCTTTTGGGGCAGTGAGAATGTTCTGGAACTAGACAGTGGTGATGGCTGCACAGCACTGAGAATGTATGAAATGCCACTGAAGTGTACACTTTAAAATGATGTGCTCTCACTATAATTAAAAAAAAAAAAAAGAATGTACTACAAAACTTAATACCTTGATTTTTTCACTCTCTTTTTTCACTCGCTTTGCATTTTCAATAATGTAAACAGTGCTCTTATTGACTTCATTGTCAGCCCTGTGCCTCAGCCAATCCTCATATCCCTAGAAGAATAAAAATAAGGATATAGTCAAACTCACATAATGAAGTAAAGTTGTTAATAAATTTCTACAACCCCTTCTCTGAGTCACAGCAGATACCTGTACTTATAATATTACTTTCAATGCAGAATAAAGAGACAAACACTGTAAATTTTTGCAGCAAAAACAAAAATATGCTTTCAAAATATTTCTTAGGTAAAAAGCTTTATTGCATTAAAGGGTTCCTCCATTCTAGAGATAAGTATTAATAAAAATACACGTAATAGAGACTTGATATTCTTCAGTTCTGAATGACTATGATTTATTTTTCTAATTCTGCTCTTAGTCAAGTTAATGTTAATGTTCTCTACTTTTTAATTTGAAAGAAATTTTTTCCAGGTTTTATTTTCTTATAGAGCAAATCACTTTAACACATTCTTCCATATTAGACTGTTGGGAGTGATCATCTCTGAGGAAATATAATTCCTTCCCAGAGACAGAGAATAGAAAGAGCAAGTAGGATTATTTTGGAACAGTATCTATGATAAGTTTTAGAAATCAACAGTTAAACTTCTCCACTGACTTGGTGACAAAAGAAAATATAAATTGGTGTCCGTTTTTTAGAGTTAAAAGTAATGAGTTCATTTTCCTTTGGGCTTTCTTTGGTCTAGAGTAATTTAAGCCAAAAGAAGTTAAGAATGGAGGAACTCCATTTGTTTGAGCACCATCTCCTTTTTTTACATCACTTTGCTTTTTTTCCTTATAATAGGGAGGGTCTGTACCTTTTCAAATATAACTGTTTGAAAAGTCTCTTGATCGCCTTCCCCTTTTTCTCTCAGGTGCTATATAGATTGATTCCTATCCTGTCCTTCTTTAGGGCAATGCTTTTGAAAAGTCTCTTGATCGCCTTCCCCTTTTTCTCTCAGGTGCTATATAGATTGATTCCTATCCTGTCCTTCTTTAGGGCAATGCTTAGGCTATCACTTCATAGGGGAACTTTCAGTGATGTTAGTGAGGAAACAAAGGCCCCAACATGAACTAGTATTGGGAGTAAAACGAATCAATAAGAGTTTTTTGAAAACCAAATAGGCTATTCTTGGGAGCAGCAATTCTATTATGTTAAAGAAAATAATCTTAACAGCCTCAGGGAAATAACATTCCCAAAGTCTTTATTTAGCAACCAAACACTTGATAAAATATCCTTTCAGTTCTGGGTAGGCAAGATAGAAGACCAGATAAACCCAAGAAGAAAGGTAACCATGTTCTCAATATTGTTAAGCAAACCTTTATTTTGGACATTCTTTAGGACACTTTCTGAAGGACTTTGATAAATACTGTCTAAAAGTCTCCTTGTAACCTGTCAGCTTCTGGTACAGGAAAAACATTGTTAACCACTCCTTAACCACGTTTCCTGTTTCTATTTTCAATTTTATTGGGAATTTGTCAAAAGCACCCCTTCAGCAGCATCAGGAAAGACAACAAAATTAAAGTATTTATACTCTTGAGTTCAGAGAAGGAAATGGCAACCCACTTCAGTACTCTTGGCTGGAGAATCCCATGGACAGAGGAGCCTGGCGGGCTACAGTCCATGGGGTCATGAAGAGTTGGACGTGACTGAAGCGACTTAGCACACACACACCCACTCTTGAGTTCTCTGCTATAGGTGGCAATTTAAAAAGTCCACAAGAATGGGAATTTTTCAGACAGATATAGCACAGTGAAAAATGCAATGCATATTGCAAATTTATCTCCCACTCCCTGAGTGAGGTGTACCTTCTACCTACTCTCCTTTTAGGGTTATATTCCTCCCTCCAAAAAATAAGAAGAAAGGAGCAAAGAAATTAAAGATGTGTCTTATAACCATTTTAATGGGTTTTCAATAAGAACAAAATATAAATTCTCATGTCAGACAGGACTGAAATGCAAGCATAATTGTAAATTAGAAATTTACCTGCTTGATGGCTGTAACAGTTATAACAAAAAAAAGTGGAAGTCCACTGGTAATTGGGCTAGTTGGTGTGTCTACTGTGACCTAGGTAAAGAAAGTAAATTGAGAGTAAAATGAGAAGTCATTAACTTATATGCAGCATTTACATGCTACAAACATTTCAGACAAAAATGTAAATAAAACATACCCCGGTAGCAGCGTGAATGTTAACTTTCCTTAAAACAAAAGCAATCCATGTAGCCATTAGTTTAAGAAAATAGTTCTAAATTTAGGCTTAGTTTTCATGCCATCTTGGACTAACCCCTAGACTGAAATATATCCATTCATTTACCATCTGTCTGTTGAGCACCATTCTGTCAGCCTTTGTGCTATTATCAGCCAGGCTCGAGAGATGCTGCTTTATTTTAAACAAGATGGAGAAAAGTTCCTGCCCTCATAAGAGCTGGCAACTTATAGTGAAAACCAGACATTAAAACAAGTCACATTTGAAGAGTATATAGAAGATAACTAGATGGAAGGGGGCTTCCTAGGCGCAGTGAGGCACATATACAAAGTCTCTATGGGAGGAGGGCATGTGTCACCTGTGATAAAATAAAGGAAGCCAGCTGCAAAAAAGCATGTGGTGTAACAAGAGGCTGGAGGGGAGACAGGGGCCAGACCTAGCAGGGCTCTCCAGATGAAAGTTCATTCTTTATCTCACAAACAGTGGAAAATAATTGAAGCTTTTAGGCAGGGAGAGGTCAGGTGAACAGAACCACATTTCAAAAAGGTCATTCTCATTGCTTTGTGGAAAATGGAATGGAAGGGAACAAAAGTGGAGGGAGGGAGTCCATTTAGGAGGCTAGTACACTCATCCAGGTAAGAGATGATGGCTTGGACAAGGGTGGTAGCAGCAAATAAAAAAGAAGTTCCAGAGGCATTTAGGAAGCAACACTGGTAAGGAATTTCTTTTAAGTGGTGGTTAAAAAACGTCTCCCAAGTATCTGATTAACATGGCTAGGTAGATGTTGTCATTCATGGAAACAGGAAATCCTGAAAGAGAACTAGATTTGAGGGAAAGAGGATCATGAGGTCACTCTCCTTTTACGTAGCTCTGTGCGTTCTTGCACACACTGAGATATCAGTCTGGATTCCTCACCACATAAGCTCTCTAATCTTTCAAGTCTTAAAGTCACCTATTCTTTGAAGTTTTCTCAAGCTTCTCTTGGGTAGGAAAAAAAAAATCATAACTTCCACTGTGTCCGCACAGCATTTTGCTCATACTAGTTTTACGACATTTACCACATTAAATTGAGTGGATACATGACTGTCTTTTTTGGCTATAATGTAAAATTCCTTTTGGGTAGAAAAGGCAATCTTGATCTTTACTGTACCTGCTAAAATCTTTGTTATCTGGACCACTGCCTGGCACACAGGTGCTTGCTGAACTGAACTGAAATGTGCTGCATGCCAAGTGGAATGACTGTGTGTATAATCTTCTACACAGTTTATTTATTCTATGCTATTCTGTAAGACATCTCACCATTGATCTAGAGGAGCTCCACCTCAAATGCCCCGTCATTCAAGACTGAAATTGGTTCTTCCCCATATTACAACCCAGACTGGTTTTAACTTGCAGGGCTAAATTGAATTATAGTACTATTTATTCAAAGTGGATAAACAGAAGCACTTAAGATCAGCAAGGCATTTGAGCAATTTTATTGGGATGTTTTTGCTTCGCTTAAAACAATGAAATGAGAAAAAAAATACCTTTAATGTAGTAAAATTTTCAAAGGGTAATTTTGGCAAGGGAAAGATTTTAATAGCTTATAGACTGAAAGATGGAAGATGCAATTTAAAATGTCTAAAATTTAAAACACAAAACATTAGTAGGAACACTGAGAAGCAAACCAATGTACAAGGATTTCATCCTTAAAGTAAATAAATGAGAAAAAGCAAAACTGGTGATCAAGAAGATAAGTGATAAATTTTCAATTAAACTGAAACTGGTGCTTAACAAAGTGAAACTATTAATTTGAACTACTTTCAGTTTTCACATATACCACTGTATATAAAAGTACACAATGCATGTCCGTCTAAGATGAACAAAGATATGAAATCCATGAAAGTTTAAAAAAAGTAACAAAGTCTCAGTAAGTTTTCTAGTGAAAGAGCTACTTTAGAAACATATAAAATTGAGTAAGCTTAAAATATATTAGTACTTCAAAAAGTGTTATTATAATAAGCCATGAAACAACTTTTTAATCACAGGGCATTTCAAGGTTAGAAATGGCTTGAAAATCTGCTTGAAGAAATGAAGTTTATAATGGAGCTCTTACCTGTACAAGAAAAATGATAAGAAAATAAAAGTTTGCAATTCTTCTAAACTGTTCAAACAGATTCTTTGGGAGGAAATTCCAAAGTGTATACTATATGGGAGGAAAAAAAAAGATTATTAGAAAGGAAACTTGAAAAAGATTCCAGATTATCACAATACTTTGAAAGTATGTTAAAACCCAAACCTCAAAGACGAATAAGTGGGTACTTAGAGGTATAGCATATAAACACTCTGCAGGAGTGAAGTTTTCACTTGGAGCATCCTAACTGGGCCATGTGTCCTTCAGCTTTGCTTTCCCTGGCCCAATCTAAATTAGGTTCCCTGTTATCTGCTCTCACATCACCCTATACTTCCCTGGGATCACATGTTTCAGTGAATAATTATATGTGTGCATATTTTAATTAAAGTTTCTCCCTCAAGAGGCACTGAGATCTAAAAGGGCAGACTATTCACCTAGTCTTTTTATTACTTTTCTCCAACTCCTAGCACAGTGCCTGACATAAAGTAGACACTCAATAAATTAGTTGGATGAATGAATGAACTAATTAAATTAATTTTTCTGGCTGTGCTAAGCTTTGGAATCTTGATCATCATCACAGATAAAATTCTGTCCCTATCACTGCTTTCTACCTCCATGACAGCCTTGGTATACACATAACCTTAGGTCATAGACAGCTTACATTTTAATCAACAACATACCAACCTTGTACTTTGATAGCAGGTAGTGGGTAAAGGTTTCAATGCTAAATTGTACACGGGCAAGAGGAGAAAACTCTTGGGCCAGCTGTCAAATCACAAAGACTTTCTCATTGGTACCTTAAGCTCAAGGACCAGGGCATTTTAAAATCACCCAAAGTTGGATTTTCTAGATGTCTTAATAAAGACCAGAAACAAGAAAGAAAGAAATGTTTCTTAACCTAAAGATCTAAGTTTATACTTGCACGGTCTCAATGTTTGAGAAAATATTCATTATATTAGGTAAGGTGACTGAAAAAGCCAAAGTTGCAGAGCATGATACAATAGATGGGGCTTCACTACTAACCTCCCTTTAAAAGGTGCACAGGCCCAAGGTTCAGGGAATCCCAAGAATAGAAAGATGAATGGAGGCAAATATATTCAGTGAAGCAGCTGCATTACAACCAACAGCCAACCTAGAAGGTTCTTCTCCCAGGGTTCATAGAAGTGCCTCAGGGAAGCCCATTCGACATGAAGTGCATACTTGTGTGTGGATGTGTATCACTTGGGAGAAGAGAGTCCACAGTTTTCAGATTCCCAAGGCAGCTTGTGACCAAAAAGAAAAGGGATCAAAACCACAGGTCCAGTCACTTTGAAGCTGCCCTAGTTCAGATCAGCACTTAACTGTCCTGATGACTGAAGGTCAATTTTCTAAAACAACAAACTAAACTCCAACAGGCTAACAGCTGAGCTTCTGGCTCGTTGACCTTCTGTTCCTTAAGTAAAGGGTTTTAAATTAAACAAACAAACATTGGGACTGTGAGAGTCCTCTGTGGGGTGTGAACATGTCGAAGGGAACATTTTTGTTGTTGTTTCTAGGCCCCCACTGTTTCCCTCTGTTTTAACTTCCTAAATGAACTGCTTCCTTGAGGAACTCTGGTCAGTCTCTTGATAGGTAACTATTACTACATGCCCTCTTCTTTCCTGTATCAGATCATGAACTACTAAGAGGTCAGAGAACATATAAACATAAGCTCCCTTCCCTTCCATGCCTAGAACAGTGTTCAGCATGTAGAAGGTATACAAGAAATGTTGACTGAAACTTGTGTCTTGGCCATTTCCTCCACTGCTCTAACTAAAAAGTAAATTAAGCTTCTTGTCTCTGTTATAATACAAATGCAATCTAGCATACATTATTTCAATGCAGACTAAGAGAAGCCTACTTTTAAATAGTGTTCTAACTAAAACTGAAATGGAATGAAACTGTATATACCAAGTTACTCAAATTGACTTGTTTACCTAAAAAGTGAACTCTCAGACTTAGTCAGTTGCTACAAACCAAAAATAATGTTAATTCACAGGAAGAAAATGTTTAGAGCATTTGTTTCATACATAATGTTGAACATGGACATTTTTTTGGTCAAAAGTCAGTTCTTTCTCAGAGAAGTCAGTAAGTGGATCTTCTATACTATCTTAACGTGCAAGCCTAAACTAAAAAAGCAACCCTGACATCTAGAACACATTTCAAAAGTTTCTTGGTGCCTCAGACGGTAAAGCGTCTGCACGCAATGAGGGAGACGGGGGTTTAATCCCTGAGTTGGGAAGATCCCCTGGAGAAGGAAATGGCAACCCACTCCAGTACCCTTGCCTGGAAAAACCCCATAAGCAGAGGAGCCTGGTAGGCTACAGTCCATGGAGTCGCAAAGAGTCGGACACAACTGAGCAACTTCACTTTCACTTTCTTCAAAAGTTTCTTCAGAAAAATGCCAGCTTCCCAAGTATGTGCAATGCATTTTCATTTTCCCTATAGTGAATTAAACAACTGTACACAACTGTGGCCTTTGAGTGAAACAACTGTGGGTCACTCGCTCACACATCTATCATCTAATTTAATTTGAAATCAAAACCTTGCAACTTTGATAAATAACTTTCCTAATTTAAAGGAGAGAATATGAAGGGAATCTCAGTTTTGAGAATCTATTAAATTGAAAATTTTAAACAAGAGGAAACTTTAGAACACTACTTGTTTTTACCCAAAGTCCAAAATTTTTCCAATTTAGCCTTTAAAATGCTGATGGGAAAGCTAAAGCTCCAAATAACTTGTTCTAATATTTCTGTGCATCATGAGAAAAGGGATAGCAACTAAAATGAAGTAGTTAACTATGTAAAGTGGCAAAGTCAACAACCAGTTGTGAAGGAGCACTGACTTTTCTTACTACTGGCATTTGAATGCGATATAACAAAATAACCATACTTGAAGATTAGTTGTAAATAAGCATCTGGTTGTAAATAAGCAAAACTCTAGGTTGAATAACTGTTCACTTTGCTAAATGACTGTATCCACGTGATTATCAACTCTCCTTGATGTAGGCAGTAAATCCAATTTTGAGCATCACAGCAGCCTACTTTCATTTTCATTACCAATGTCAAGCAGAACTTTCTGCTTTTTCAAAGTATCACTCTTTCTACCATAAATTCAGAACAGCAAAAGGAGTTAGCAAGACAGTGCTACATTAGGATTTAGTAACTTTAGCTTAAAGGGCACCTTCAGGGAGTTTGATAAGATGCAAAGACATGTCTAAGAAATTCTACTGATGCTTTTGATTTTTAAAATGAGAGAAAATGCTAGTTTAATTTTAGTCTTGAAACTTTAATACATTCTTTCACATAGGAGAAGTTAAGTTTAACCTTGGGCATAGCTTCAAAGAGTTAGGAGGAGCTCCCTGATTCTTATCCCACTGAAGGGCTCAAGACGAGGCTCAGAAGTTTTAAATGAAAAACAAAAATGTAGAACAGAGAAAAATGATGGAACCTAAGATCTTAAAGATCTAGTTTCTTTTGCTGCAGAAGGGAATTTCCAAGTTTTGTACCAGCTACAAAATTCTAGTGATTCCCAAAGGTCCCTGCTGAGTGCACTAAAGTAGGAAGGCCAAAGAGAACAAGTTTTTCTAAACAAAGTATTTGTGCATCCCCAAAGAAGAAAAGGTTGCTAATTTTGTAAGTTAATAAAACTTAATTTTTATCAAAGTGTTATTTTCAGTGTTCCTGTATTAACAGGACTTATTCCCAGTGATATTACATTACTGATGGCATCTGTAAACAAACAAAAGGCAGCCAACTGAAAAAGTTATTTTTATTATCGAATAGTTTAGAAAGGAAATCAACACTTGCTACAAGTGTTATGCATTTCTTCAATTAAAAGTGTTGTAGATTTCTTCAATTAAAAGATTCTGGTGCAAATACCATCAGCCAAAGGGCAATGTGAGGAAGAGAAAGTCAAATTATGAAACATTTTTCTCTCCAAACTGGACTTGAAGGCTTCTTTTTAAAAGTAATCGCTTTGCATATTTGAAACACAGGAGACTGAGGAAATCAATACTACTGCTTAGGACTGCAGCAATAATAATAATAATAATCACAAAAACATAAATAACAATAGCAGTTACCATCTACTGAGTTGTTACTGCATGCCAAGCACAGTGCTTTAATGTTTTCTGTGAATTACTTTATCTGCACGACAATCCTGTGAGATAAGTAGTTAATAGTTCCATTTTACAGATAAGAAAATGGGGACACAGGAAGGTTATATAACTTCAAATACAGATCTCCTGTTTATAAGGGTGAAGCTCTTTACCACTACACTATATGCTGTTCCCTTATAACTATTTATTGAACTAAAATTTCATTCTTTTTGTGAAGTCAGTCTACTGTCAATTCCTCTTTTCCTGCTCTATAGCTGTTACGAAAAACAGATCAGTTAATAAGCAGTTAACTAGACAAACTGTAAAAATAAAATATCTACAAAGAAAACAATGTGTTAGTCTATCAGTGTAGACACATTCACTACTGTGGTTTCTAAAACACACACATACATACTGTATATGCAAATATGTTTAGAACCAGTTTGTATTTGCCCATGAATTCCTTATTATTTAAATAATATCCTATTGCATTATTTTGACTACTGGCAAAACTAAAGTTAAAATATGAAAAATATTCTATGAAATATAAAAACAGTTGAGAATTAACTGAGTTTTATATGTTCCTTTAAGATGCAAAAATACATGGTATATTACAACAAGTGGATTGTCACTAGCTCAGTGAAAAGTCACTTGACTATCGGTGTGTCACTTTACCATTTTCCGGATAAAGCACTACGGGGAACAATAATTCCCTAGAAAGTAAAGGAGAGAAAACTGAGGGAGGAACCCGAATAGCACAATGATATGAAAACAGCTCTTTATTCAGAGCCACTATATCTTATAAAGCAGTTCTTGTTCCTGGCTTTATCACTAACGCTGCTTCATGACCATGGCACTAACTTAAGCTCTTTGGGTTTGCTTTCTCCATCTATAAAGTCAGGGAGTTGAACAGAAGGATCTCTTAGGATGTTTCAGTTCTATATTAAGTTCATGATTCTGAGCCAAAGGACTACTATTGACTGTTTTCTTGATTACTAAGGGTGAGTCACAATTTTCAGTGAAAGAACTATTCACTATCTTGGGCACAGGTACAGAAACTTCTAGCTGACAATAAATTTCTGCCACAAGGTTAAAGATTAACAAGAAACAGACATTTAAACTCAGAGTGTTCTATAGTCTAATGGATCTGCTCATTAGGTAACACAGTTTTCAATCATTCTATCCATATTTTACATGCTACTCTCCCAGCTAAGTACAATCTATCTGCATTATATCACTACCCAAACAGAAGTCACATGTTTGAAAATTAAAATGTTACATTTGCAAAGTAAGGGTATAACTTTGTATTTCAGATCCTCGGTGTTTGTCAACATGCAATGAACCAATTGTCACCAACATTTGAGGTCTACCTTATCATGCTGCATGAGGAAGCGAGGAAAATTACCAAGATCTGTGCCATACTAGAAGATACAGCATTCTCTAGATGGTGCCAGCCATCTAGCACCTAGCACCTAGCACCTAACCTCCTCAGTCAAGGGGAAAGATTAGCAAACTAATACTTGTAGATTGATGACTACTGGGTACTATGTGTTATAAAGAATGCTTTCATGTATGGAACATAAGCTCCATTTCACTAATGAGGACATTCAGACTGAGAGATTAATGTGCCCAAAGTCACACAGCTAGTAAATGATCAGACCAGGATTTAAACAGGTCTTCAGGCCACTTCTTTTAGCATTACACAATGCTAAATAAAGTAAGATGATTATTCAAATGGTAACACAGCTATCATGATTGAACCCTTAACTGTTCAAGCAGTGCACAGAACAGAATGTACCCTTTAGGACCCAGGAGTGTACTTGAGAAGCTCTGCAATGCAACAGAAAGAGAGAGAAATGTCACTCTAAACACCCTCTGGAAGAATGTAAATTATTTACAACCCAGTCCATCCATACAAGGGCAATTCAGGAAGCTTTGGGCAAGTAAATAATTCTACTTTTAGCACACTTTAAGGCTTAAAGTCATACATATAATCAACAGGCATGGTGAATCATAATGGAGGGCAAGGAAACACTCTTCCAGCTATAACGAGACAAAGTGATACTTTTAAAGAAACTGACTTTTGGTGGAGTAACTACTACAGTTGGTCTATGATTCAGGAATGCATATATAAATGTTTCAGCTTACAGCATAAATAAAAATAAGTGTTATTTGGCTTACTATATGAACATCTATTGAGTTAAAAAAACAACTTACCTTAGATGAAACTATTCTATTATCACAAAATTTTTGTGCAATGTATGCTTCAGTTTCTGAAACGGGATGATTGCCAACAAATACTGTGCGTGTACCAACTCGCTTCTCTTCTCCAGCACACTGACCAAGAGAAAGGAAAACAGATCAGTTTTTCATCACATTTCTCTGTGCTTCTACCGAGCACAGAATTCTTGTCTAAGTGTCTAAGCATGTTTGGCTACTGTCTAGAGAGAGAATAGTAGGGAGAGTAGAAACCTTGTTAGGAAATTCAAACTCCACTGTCAGTAAAAGTTTTGTTTAGGCCAACTGCTCTGAGGCCAACATTGCGATCCTAAATGTTTAAATTGAAGTATCCTAGAGAAACAGTATTTTTACTGCCAAGCATTTTCTTTCATCTACAGGATCTCAACCATTACTGTCACAGCAACACACTAATTCAGAAAAGGTCAGATTGGAAATATTTAATTTATTACACAAGAAGTGTTGAAGACAACCTTGCAAATTTCATTATCAGACAGCAGAAAGCAGAATGCAAAATTCTTATAAACTGAAAATAATTGCTTATATAGACAGGAATATAGAATGGCTGCCTCTATTAATGGAGTGATCAGCTATTTCTAGAGAGAAAAGTTGCAATTCTTTGGCTTTTCAAGGAAAGATATTCTTTTGTGATCTCTCAGAACTTATTGTCAAAAAATCCCATTTCACCCAACATAACTCTAATGCCCATTCTGTATTTTTAAAAAGTAGATTCATTGAATCTAGAAGCTACAAGATTCAGGTCCATTTTTACCTCATAGTTTTACTTCACTGAGGCTTCACTCTGTTTTCTCATCTTAAATCAGGCTAATATACTTTCTTATATAAATCTAAAATAGTCTCTTTTTAAAGTTTTTTAATTAATCGATTTATTTTACTTGGAGGGTAACTACTTTACAATATCGTGATGGGTTTTGCCATACATCAACCAACATGAATCAGCCACAGGTGCACATGTGTCCCCCCCATCCTGAACCCCCCCAACTCCCCTCCCCACCCTATCCTTCTGGGTTGTCTCAGCGTACTGGGTTTGGGTGCCTTGCTTCATGTATTGAATTTGTACTGGTCATCTGTTTCAACATACGTGTTTCAATGCTATTCTCTCAAATCATCCCACCCTCGCCTTCTCCCAAAGTCCGCAAGTCTGTTCTTTATATCTGTGTCTGTTTTGCTGCCCTGCACATAGGATCGTCGTTACTATCTTTCTAAGTGGAATAGTCTCTTTTAATGGCACTGTTTTCACATGTTTGAGACAACCATTTATTTAAGTCAAAGGAAGTATGATAGAAACCAATATCCACTTATATATTTCCTTATTTTTTAAAAAAGAGCATAATTCCACAACCTAAAATGTTTTAAAGTAAGTAGCCACAAAGATTTCTGTTCAATGATCTATTTAAAGGTCAAAGATATAACTCTCTACCCCTGAAATGTCATTTTAAGCAAGACTATCTAGAGGTTGCAAAGTTACCCAAATGTCAGTGTTTTGGTGTATTCCAGTCTGAATTTCTGTACCTCAAACAGATATAGGGAAAATAATTTTTCAGATTGAAAAAAAAATTACTCTAAAATATGGTAAGACCTCTTGCTTCACTGTGGGCTTCCCTGGTGGCTCAGAGGTTAAAGCGTCTGCCTGGAACGCGGGAGACCCGGGTTCAATCCCTGAGTTGGTAAGGTCCCCTGGAGAAGGAAATGGCAACCCACTCCAGTACTCTTGCCTGGATCCCATGAAGGGAGGAGCCTGGTAGGCTACAGTCCATGGGGTTGCAAAGAGTCAGACATGACTGAGTGACTTCACTTTCACTTGCTTCACCATCTTCATTTGAAGTTTATTAAGTAATTATTTAGTGGGGTATGGCCTCCAAAATCAATAGGGAATCACTGGAAAAGTGAGATAAACTGAAGTAGGAGAGATTTAGGCTGTATATAAGTGATAACTACTGGAAATACACTCTGGTATGGGCTAAGGGAGCTTGTGGGAATTCAATCTATGGCAATCTGGAAAAAGTCACAAAGTCATCAATGCTTGACAATTGCTATTCAGCCGCCTGCCCCAAGACAGGGCATTACAACAACTGACTGTACAAGGTCCTTCGCATGCTAAGGGTCAGTGATTAACACATAAATTTTCCAACAGTTCCTGGAAACAACTAAACAATCCCTTTGCCAGAATGGTAACTATATACATTTTGATTTAGGGACTGACTGTTTGCAACTGTAATATACAGGGTCTGAACACAGAAGAGCACTGCATTTCCCATAATAGCCATTTTGCAAAAAGTAAATACACCTTCTTAAAAGTATAGTTTACTCTGTTCCCCTTCCGTAGCTTTCTGTTGCAAGTTACAGTCCCACTGTAGTCTCTACAACAGACCAGAAATTGTCCAGTCCATACACACATTACAATTTAAATTCTTTCATTTAATAGCCACATGGCTATCTAGTTTTTCACACAAGAAGTGGCTACAGAGTAAATAAGCAAGAACCACTTTTCATGCCAGTTCTCAGATCATTCAACAAATGAAAAGGGGGAAGAGGAATGAGGTAGAAGACCAGTGAAGCAGGATGCTTCCTGCACTGCCAGTACAGGTTGTTTTCCTCAGTTAACAGTGGCCACAGATTAACTTAAAACCAAACTGAACTAGCACTACCCCAATTCTGAATTGTCTTTGACTTTCTTCTGTGGCAGATAACTTTCCAAAGAACAAAAGGAAGGTACAAGCATAAAGCAATTTTTCAGGCACGTGATATTTTTATGAATTTTGCATTTGTATAGCATTTATAGTTTTACTAAGAGCTTTCCCTATACTTCATCTCTGATTTCTTTCAAGTGACCTCTATCTCCATTAAATAGGAGAAAATGGATTGAAATTGCTGTGCAGGTTTGGGGAGGGAGAGAGGGGATGGGAGATCCAGACAATGATCATTGTTAGATGAGGAAATCAGAGCCTGAGAGAAGTTGTAAAATGTATGCTCCTGAGGATTTTACAAAAGTCTCCTCAGGTCAGGTCGGTTGAAGTTTGGAGCTGCCTGAGGACTGGGGACTGGGGTGGGGTGAAATAGATGACTTTTCCATGTCTGTCAACCTAAAAATCTAATGAACCTGAAATTTCTGGTAGAATTTGTTTCAACTCTGTAATGCTGCTTGGTTCACATAAAAATGGCAAAGCTGACTGTATGTGTAAATTCATTGTAATTTTCCACTTCTGCCAATGTAGTGTTAAAACAGTGGTTTTAGCTCCTGTGATTTTGAATAATGTAGGTGCCTTAGCCAAGGGAGAGAAACTCTAAGTAGGAATTATAAAAAAAAAAAATGCTGTTTGGATGGCACACAATGTAGTCTAGAGTGGGAGTGTATGATTCCTGCCACTTTGTAATGAATTTTAATTAGGAGTCCATCCTGTGTTGAAGTGCTTCCCATGCAAATGTCCTTAGGAATGGCATTTATTAAAATTGAAATGAGTTGGCACCAATTCTATTTTAATGAGATATCATACACACTACAATTAAAAGGGTGGAAAATATTTAAAAGTATACTTATAGTGTATGAATTAACATAGAAGTCAATTTAATTTTCTTATTCATGATAAAAATCACCCTTTTGTACTCCTGAATTATAAACTGAATCCTGTGTTAAAAAACAAACAAAAAAACAAAAAACTCCAATAATTTATTCAAGACATAGTCTCTCAGTGAACATCAGAGTAGGGCTTCCCTGATGGCCCAGTGGTTAAGAAACTGCCTGCCGATGCAGGGCACGCAGGTTTGCTCCCTGGTCCTTGAAGATCCCACACCCTGCAGAGCAGCTAGGCCCGGGCATCGTAACTACCGAGCCCACACATCCCAACCACTTACCTCGGACCCTGCAGCCTGTGCCCCCAATGCGAGGGGCCGCCCCAACGAGCAGCCTCACGTGCTGCAACTAGAGAGGAGCCTCCACTCACCGCGACTAGAGAAAGGTCCATACAGAGCAAAAAATAAGAGGGATAAATAAATCTTCAACAACAACGGCAAAAACCGAGAATAAAATGGTACTGTTATTCAACTAGTACCATCTTAAAATCCTATGCCTTTGCTAGTCATAAACAAACAAAAGCTGCTGGAAGTATTATTTGTTTCTCGATTGTCTCTAGACCAGTGACTCAATAAGAACTGAGGGAAAACAGAGAACGCAACACAAGACTGTCATCATGAAAGCTAGCACAGTTTCTAAAACACAGCTCACCTCTCCATCCATTCCACATATTGGCACACTTGAATTATCCCTTAGTCATAGACCAGTGGTTCTTAAGTCTGGCCATACATTGGCTTTAAACATAATACCAGTGGCTGGGTCTTTTTATTTAATTTTTCTAGAAGCTCCCCAGGTGACAGTTCTAATTTGCAGTCAGGACTGAGAATTACTGCTACAGAACCTCACTCTTTGAATTAATGATTGACCTTAATGAACATCCTACAAGTTTTTAGTATACCAGGCATAATGCTACACTTCTAAAGCAATCAAAATAATTTAAATAATTAGCTTTTCAAAGGACAAAAAATACAAATAACCATCAAGTAGCAACCCTTCCAAACATTTTAAGCTGCTCACAAAATGAGATTCTTCGTCAATACTCATTTTGCATGTATCTACTACTCATTGATCATTCAGATCACTGATAATGAAAATTACAGGCCCTGAAAACACGCAAAGCTACTCGGGTTATCAGCAAATAATCAATAATGTAATCTCCAACAATCACAGCATTACTTTTATTGATCATCAAACTGCTCTCTGTGAGTTACTAAAGCAAGCAAGAGGACATCTCTCCTTATCAGTGGGTTCCACATCTGTGGATTCCAGCAACTTGAGATTGAAAATATTTCACGGGTGGGGGAAGATCCAGAAATTCCAAAAAGCAAAACTTGAATTTGTCATGCACCTAAAAACTACTTACATAGCATTTACATTGTACTTAGGTATTGTAAATAATCTAGAGATGATTTAAATTATATGGGAGATGTATATAGCCTACATGAAAATACTATGCCATTTTACAGGACTCAAGCATCTGAGGGTCCTGAAATCAATCCCCTGCAGA